GAACTGTACTGGGTACTTGAGAGATTTTTCAAAAAATTCTTGTTTGTACAGAGTTTGCATCCCAAATACCATATACCACAAAGGAGAAGATTTGTTCTTTTACTAGAATGATTTCCATTTTTTGTATCAGAAATTAATATACACAATTAACTCTTTTTAGTATAAGTACCATATTGCATTGATTTCTTAATTTTCCTGTGATTTTTGCAATTAGTAAACTAATTACTCTTTATATTTCCTATTTATGATAGTAATTAAATATTATTTAATGTATTAAACATTTGCTTGGTGTTGTTTGAGGGAAAAAGAAAATCTTTAAGGAGCAAACTGCGACTAGCAATGAGATTCAAGTACCAATCTTGGACCATTATGAATGTCTTGAACTCAAACTTTGGCCTTTCAAGCAAATCTTCTCCACGCACTAATTCACTTATACTATTAAAGCAACAGATTATAATGACAATTGATATTTAAAATCTCATTGCTAATAATTAAAAAAAAATTTAATGTTATCGGTATTAATATTATCATATGTGTATTTTCAATGGCACACTTTCACTCTCTCTCTCTCTCTCTCTCTCTTTGTGTATATAGTCACTGATAGTTTTTTTATTTTTCTCTAATAAGTTATTAATAATACCTACATAGATGCTCATAGACGTGTGATATTCTTTTTAACAATATTATGTTTTGACTTAGATTTGGATGGAATTTGTGGTTTATGGTTGTAATAACCTTATGATGTATTCATAGTTTTTGTTATATTATCTCTAAAGGTGTTTCCCATAAATGACAAAGTCATTCATGACTTAGCTGTAGAAGTTCACCTTGAAGGCAAATTATGATGTAAGTCGAACTATGTATTCTTCAACTATTTTCATACGTTATGTTCTGTTAATCATATCGAAATGATTAGAGAGATACAATTGAAAAAACAAGAAGAGGTTAGGGATGAAAATAGCTGTAAAAAATTGGAATATATTTGATAGGAACTTAAAAATGGTCGAAATGAGTGAGGTGTATCGATTATTGCATTTTCATGCGGCATGACACAAAGAGGCATAGACAAGGAAAGCTACACAAGTAGAGAATTTGACATCTTACATTTAGGAAAAAGAATATTTGTAAATCTTGAGTAGTAGGAGACTAAAAATAATGCTGGACTTGAGGAACAAAATTAAACTTGCATTGGATATTTGTTTGCATGGTGATAATATGTTTTTGACAACATTTAGTTATACATTTAGATCATATCAGTTTCAAAGAACAAGGAGTTAAGAATGAAATTTCGTTATTTGTGATAGTCATATTTATTTAAAATTTGTTTATATTAATATAGGGAATTGCTTTTGTATTACTATTTGGAAAAGTAGAAACAAAGAGAATACTAAATATGACCAGTATATTTTCTTTTAAATTTTTCAATTGATGAAAAGACAAAACCAAAGAAAATTTACTCAACTTATGTTATGTAACGACTTCGAAAATATCTAAAGAAAATAAATTATAACTTAAGTGCGAAAGCGAAATAAATGTTCAAAGTTTACATATCCTATATGATAACTTAAAGAACTAAATGGAGCTGCGGAATTTAGTTTAAGAAAAAAACAATACAATAAATAGGGAAATAAATGAAAAATAAAGAAAACTAGCATTTACTCGCAATCTTTTTGCGGTTCGGGTTTTGAAACTTGGTCATCTTGATCTGAAATGGTTAAATAAGGGATGAGCTACACTAGTTTAGTAAGGATATCACACTATATCACCGACAAATAAGTAAAGATTGATATAAAATCAAAACAACTAATGGAGCATTTAATTTAAATAAATTCATTTATCAATAATAAAACCATTACCGTTCACTTACCATAGTGAGATTCATAAAAATAATCTATACAAACAATAATATTATACATATCATAATTTTATGTATAATCAGCAATCATAACACACATTATAAATCTATATCCATCATCAATAAATCTACAATAACTATCGCTCTTTTTACCAATCTGCTGGTATCCATGGGGGTTCATAGGGATATTCCTAGTATACGTGAACCCTTTCATTTAACATTCTTAATTGCTGGCCGTCCCCACACCCCGTCCGGTATGAGTGTCAATTTACTAAATCTCGATATTCCGTCCGGTATGAGGGTGAAGTGAATCGTCCTCATACCCCGTCCGGTATGAGCACCAAATTATCAAGTCTTCATACCCCGTCCGGTATGAGCACCAAATTATCAAGTCTTCATACCCCGTCCGGTATGAGCACCAAATTATCAAGTCTTCATACCCCGTTCGATATAAGACAACATTCATGGTAGGGTTTCCTATGTACTCGGTCTGTTTACCATATATCAGAATATCCAGTAAGACTGTCGTTTCATTTATTCATTCATCACACAATTTTTACTGTTTAATCTTCATTTTTTTCCAATACAACAGTAAACACATAGAATAAACTATACATGCATTCAAAGCCATAAAATCAATTAATGAGGTACTATCATACATTTAAACTGTAGAACAATCAACAAAACAACAGTAGAGAATTTTCAGTTCTAACTCCATTAGCAATCTGTAATTAATTATGCACATTTTCTAAATTCAAACAAAATATCGTATTATTATTTATTTAGACTTCAGTTCTATGATAGGGAATAGAGTGAGGGATCCTTATTCGATTTGATGTCCGAAAAGCTAAACTGTTCGACTGTGCCTATTGGCAATTCTCGAGTTTCCTGAATTTTTTTTCAGGGATTAAAACGCGCTAATAGTACTTACAAATGCCCCAAACAAACTCAAAATCAGTTCCAGTACCCATTTGACTAATTTTGAAATTCTTGCACAGCGACTCTGCTGTGTTCCGGTGATGACCCACCTCGGGTCAGCTTTTTTGACCGTTTTTAGTTGATTTGGCATTCATCACTGCGAGAAAACACGTTAAAGGGTCTCGGTTAGCCCAAAAATATAAAAAACTGAAACTCACTGGCGGCGGGGCTCTCCGGTGCGACGGCTCCCGTTGTGGTTGGATGTTTTGCTTCAGTCAACCTGTAGAGAAAGACGATGATCACAACGGGAAAACAATTACATAGAACGGGAATCGAGAAGTGCCTCATTGGAGGCGTTTTGTGAAATTCTTCGCGGCAGTACCTCCGGGCTTCGTCTGCGTTTTTCGACCAATTGGTCGGTTCTTTTGCTCTGATTTGGTTATGGGTGTGTTTAGAATTGAATTTCGAGCAAAATAAATTTTTTTTACCTTTTTTGGCAGTCGAAAAAGGTTCCGATGCGGCAGCAGAATGACGACGGTCTCCTCCCCAGCGGTCGGGTCTTCTTTTCCAGCGAGGGGGTCTGGCGACTAAAGTTAGGGTTTGGTGCGAATGAGGGTTATTTATATTTGTCCGCTTTTGATATGGGCCGTCCATCACGTTTAATCTGAACTGTCTGATTGCGATTAAATAGAAAGTAAATTTGGACCGTTTATCGCGATCCAATCTAGGTCGTCCATCGCGATCTAATCTGCACCATCCGATCGCATTTGGGGGTACACATCTGGGCCGTCCGTGCATGCAGGAACGAATCTGAGTCGTTTGATTGCAGGCACGCGAATTGACCGTGTGGCTTCCTGCGTGGCACCGCGTCAGCGTCTGCTGCCACACGGTGCGTCCTGATTCATCGAGTCTGCTGATCGAGCACCTGACGTGGCAAAACTTCTCTCAATTATATTTTGACCTGATTTCTGATTTTTCTATCACAAATACCTTCAGAACCCAAATTTTCACCAATTTTTTCTAAATTTATTTTTAATTTATTCCTTCATCAATTTTATTTCAATTTTTACTATAAATACATGAAGAAAATTGAAAAATTATTTTATTATATTTATAATAAAATCCTACATTATAAAAAAAAAAAAGCTAATTTAGGATGTTACATGTTAACTGCTAAAATTATTGAAATTGTTATTACGGGTAAATAACATGCTTGATTGCTGTGAAGTAAATATGAAATCTTCTACTTATTGATATACTATTATTACATTTTCATGGCAGCTTATTCATTGATATTACATACTGATCTTCTCATTGCACAATATAACCAAATTCTTATATATCATATATCTTCGTAGCTACTTTTTGTATCCTGTGATGAAGCTTGTGGAAAGAGCTTTTAAGAAAGAAATTAAAACTTATTACAGAAGCAAGAATTTTGGAGAAAGTAACTCTAATATAATTTGAAACTTTGTTATGCGATGAATATGATTTTTTTTAGCAAAAAAAAAAAAATCTGAAAATTTTGTTTTTGCCCTCTCTTTGATATTAAGTTACTAAAATTTAGAAATAAGTTCATTGTTCATTTTCTTTTATATAATCTATTAATAGTTTAAATACTTTATATTTTTTCTTTTAACGTTTTAAAAGTTTTGAGAATTATAAAGAAAATTTCAAGTTCATAATTGGTTATGAGTTGAGATAGTGTGCTTTGATTTTTTGTTTGAAGATCTGTAAGTTCTACATTTAAAACAAGATACTGAGTCTTCTTGAGTAGCTCGAACTGTGATGACATGTGAATAAGGAATCTATTGTTTTGAGTACAAGTTAGCCACTGAAGTATTTCCTCATGCTTAGATTTCTAAGGCCGAAGAGTTATCCTTGATGATTAGCTTTTTTGGAGTTCAAAAAGCAGCTTGAGGACTTTCAGGTTTTTAGTTTCTCACCATCATTTATCAATTTACTAACTGGTGTAATGTACAATTTTTTTTTTTAATTCGTAATATTTATTTATATTGTTCTTTGTTCGAACTCATATCCAAGTGTTTCGAACTCGGGTTTTTGTGTGAATTCACCCTCCAATTTAACAATAGTTTACAATTCTTATATTTACTTTCATTTGCTTTCTTAATCATAGAAAGATTTCATCAATACTCTACCATAACTCATTATAACTCTCAAAATAAATAAGTAAAAATACTGAATTAGTAACATTATTATCCCTACATTGATCAGGATAGACGACAAGAATTCAGAGAGAGGAAAAGAAAATTTAGAAAACCATGAACGTTGACCAAGAGGTCCACCGACTCACTCAAGGAAGAAATCCAAAGGCTCGGCAAAATTCAGCCTGATGGTTCTTACAAGGAAGGTATCAGATCTCCCCTCCCTCTCTCTCCACTATAAAATACACAGACGCGAACACGTATAGTCAATCAAGAAAGCACCACTCACTCGTATACAAAAAATTTATACTTGACTTTTTACAGAAAAAAGCAAACAAAGAAAACTCAAAGATTCAGGAGGGGTCCCGACATTTGGATCCCAGTTTCCAGCAGCAATATCATGACACTCCACCAATGATGCAAACTGTCCATTCTTTCGGTGCATTCTAGGATACAAATATTATTAAATGAACAGAGAGCTTATTACAAATAGCAAAGCCCAGACTTTTCATCATCAGTTATTTTCCGCACTCTTTGTTCAACTCCATCCCCCTCATCCTTTCCCCTTTTCGGTAAAGGGAGTCAAGAGCATTGTGTTTTCTCTATTTTCCCCCCTTATTCCATGTATGATGGTCTCTTCTGTTTTAGTACAAAATAATAAACTCTAAGAAACATGTTTTTTTAGATAAAAGAAGAAGATTTATTAGAGAGAAAGAGAAACAATACACTGCAAAACTGGAAGTTAGGAAGTATGTTGAGCGCACTGAACTTTTATATTCCCAAAAGCTTTAATATGTCAAGACACTTATATTCATTCCTTCATTCCAAAGCGTAAGCTATCCAATTATCAGGCATCTTACCTCTGTGCAACTTCTTTCCGGCGTCTGTATCGAATTTTCTTCTCGGAACACTTTTCTTTCCGCTTTTCACGAAACTTCACCAATGAGGCAATTCTTTTAGAAAGTCTTGTGAAGCCTCACCTGCAACCTTGTCTATTGTAAGAAAAATATTAATTATCTAAGATATCAAAACATATGTGTCTGCAGATCAAAAGGGTACTTTAACAGGAAATACCCTGACCGTTCTGTTGTAGCAGAAAACTCGGTGATAGGTACACTACTAGGTGTATCACCCCCTCCCAAAAGTAATAGCACAGCTTGCCCCTGTCATACACATTCCAGTATATCAACACACATACAAAGCCAAGTGGCACGCTTTACAAGGGCAACATACAAATGGTCTCTCCAGTTTAAAAAATTGTACGTCTCCTTAGTCAAGCAAAAAGCAACAAAAATTATTCGAATTTATTGACTCGCCTCAACATGCAGCAAGGATATCTATCCATGTTTTAAAAGCAGTGCACTTTAAAAAAAAAAAAAATTAAATGTCATTTCTGCCAAAATCCATTATGTGTGAGTTATTTACATAACTTGGCCACAGTGGGAACATAATTCTTAACGGAAGGTTTCAAAATTCTCCTAATTCAGCTTTTCAATATCAAATCATACCATCAAACAACTCTTGAAACGAACAGATCTCTCATCTCTCATTTTATCATCCAAGGCAGCATGTGAACTAAAAATCCAAAACATTTGCATTAATGGAAAAACATCATATACTGGAAGAGATGTAAAAACTGATGATGCTCACAGCAAAGTTCAATCTTTAACCATAAAAAGAAATAAATACATATATATATATATATATATATATATATATATATTAGCAAGGTTAAAATATGTAACAGCAATTTAAAATCTACACTACACTGACACATAAACTTGGCTTAATCATTTGGAACCAGAACAAGCTTTAAAAGAGCCCCATTAACGTTGATCTCAAGCATGATTCATCTCTAGAATACAAATACTAGGTCTAGATTTTTCCTCCCTCTATCAAAACCTTGAAATTCTGGCAGGATAAACGTGCAGTAATGAACCTTTGAACATCTAATACCAAGTTTTGTCTAGTCTTTTGGGATGTATGTTCTGTTCGCGACATCAAAGGTCGAGAGGAGGAGATGAGGCAATAATGCTGGCTTTTTACTTCTCTTTAGGGCTGCCATCAGGCCTGAAATCGTAGACAAGCTGTTTGGAAAATGTCCAAGAAAGGAGTCTCTAAGGTCAGAAGCTGGTACAAGGAGCATATGAGGAAGTTCAGGGCCGTCAGCATCGATAGCTTCCAAAGGAAAGCTATCCTAGAGACTCATCCACCTTCTAGAGTAGCTATTTTAAGTGGAAAGTCACAGGGCAGCATATTCTAACCATTGATAGCAATATAAAAAGTGGAGCTTTTTGGCCTATGCATGCTACTGCTGCAAAAATGCAGCAGAGTCTCCCTGCCATCTCAACCTTGGCATGCTTGGTCTAGAAGGCTGTGGGAAATAGCAACCAATATTAAGCGACTGTTTTAGAGTGGCTGTTTTAAGTGGAAAGCCACACGGCAGCATATTCTAACCATTGGTAACAATATAAAAAGTGGAGCTTTTTCAGGCTATGAATGCGAGTGCTGCAAATATGCAGCAGAGTCTCCCTGCCATCTCAACCCTGGCATGTTTGGTCTAGAAGGCTGTGGGAAGTAGCAATCAAGTTTTTGGGATTGTTCTGGGTGTTGTTTGCCTCTTTTCAGGGAAAAATTTGGGCTTGGTACAGCGAAGCTGCTCTGAACAGCAGAGGAAGAATTTGGCTCTCAATCAACTTTCTATTTTCTTGATTCTTTGGAGAGAGAGAAACATGAAAGCCTTTGAAATAGTGTGTTCCTCCTCCCAAAGAAGTTCCAGATTTTTGGCTAAGAAACTTATTCTTTTAGGTTTCTGGTCAGTATTTATTCAGAGATGAGGGCTTCTTAGGCCTAGTAGACCTTCTGAATTGTAACTTAGACTGTTCACACCCTCTTCGTACATGGAAGAACCCCTTGTATCTTCTTTATAATACTCTTTTTTCACAAAACAAAAAACACCCAGCCATACCCTTAAGCTATAAATTTTTCTGTCACTCTATACAAATTTCCTTGTTATAGCCCACTTTAAGAACTATATTTTATCATTGCACATGTTACTTCAGCAACTTTCTCATTGCAGATTTCAACTGTTTCAGTAGTTTCACTAACCAGGAAATTATTGTAAGTAGAACTTTACAAAGGCTACCATATGCATTGTAACATATATAATACCTCCATACAAACTAATTACTCAACGAGGATCTGTGCGTATGTGCACTCCGTAACTAATGCGATTTCTCCCCCAAGATACCCATGGGTTGCTTTGACTTAGGTCATGTGCCACACAAGGAGGCATAATATTTTGCTGGTGCTCACAGCTAATCTTGAAGTTCCTTAGCATCAGCAAGGAATCCTAGGTTTGACCCAAAAAAACTAGTTCTTTTGGAGGATTGGGTATTGGGAATTTTAAATCTAGGAACTTGTCATTATTAGTTATGTGGTTAAGATGTTTTTTCGCAGGAACCTAATTCTTTGTGGCATAGAGTAACCTTCACAGTAGTTAATGGAATGGTTAGGATGTTGTGACCACAAAATCCACCAATCATAAGGTCTATCACAAATATCAACGGGGCCTTCCACGACAAATGGATTTGGAGATACTTTAATGAAATCAACAGCCTATGGAGATTATCGTGGACATAAAATGGATGAAATATGATGGTAATGACAGATTTATCTTCCCCACCAGAACTCATGGCACAAGTGCTTGGAAGGGGATCCTTGCAACCTACAACGAGGTGATGATGAACAATTACTGGAATGTTGGTAATGGTGAAAGGGTGAATTTCTGGAATGACACTTAGTGCACTGAAAACAGCCTTAAATCTGTCTTCCCATATATTTACTCCATTACACAACGAAAAAACCTTCTGGTTAGTGAGGGCTTCGATGAATTGGGCTTTTGTAATATTGCTGTCAACCGCAACTTAAATGACTGGGAGATGGATGAATTTGGACAGTTCTTACAGCTGATGTCTAGGATTCAAATTGTTAACAGACCGGACTCCCTAATCTTGAAACCGCAGAAAATTGGCAAATTTTCCACTCGGTCTTTCTTCAATCTGCTTACATTTAGCATTGACCGGTCTAACTCTACTCCTCCTACATATTTCCCCGACAAAACCATTTGGAAACATAGTGCTCCCCCCAAGGATTGCATTTTTGCTTGGAAAGGTGTTAAGGAGAAGATCCTGATATTGGATAATGTAATAAAAACTGGGAAAATTTTGGTCAACAGATGCTTCCTTTGTGATAATGATGCTGAGAGCTGCAATCATATTCTTCTTTGGTGTCCTTTTACTGCTAATTTGTGGCACATGGTTTATAGTTTGATTGGTATAAATTGGGTTATGTCCAGCTCTGTTTATAATGAGATTATGGCCTGAGAGGTTTTAGTTTCTAACAATTATGTTACCCGACTAATTCCTTTGACTATTTTTTGAGTTATTTGGAAGAAAGAAACAATAGATTTTTTGAAGGCAATGAAGATCCTTTTATAAATATCAAAAATAGATGATTATACTGTTTTGGATCCATATTTTTGGGACACAGTCTCGTTATCTTTTGATGACATGAACCTGTGGTCGATGTGGTCGATATACTAGCTGATATGTAAATTTATTGTAAATGAGCAGTAGTCCCTTAGAACTACTTTTTAATACATTTTCTTACTTTTATCTGAAAAAAAAAACGATTCACCAATCATAAAAGTTTACGGAAGTTCATTCCAAATTTCCTTAACATCTATAAGATTCTTACCAGGTACGAAGCGAGGGACTGTTCCTTTTTCCGGAGGATCTTTGAAGGGACGGCCAACCCTTGGACATCAATTCTCTAGATCCAAAGTGGGGGACAGTTCTCAGCACCATGTCAAAGCTCCAACAACAAAAAGCACAAATATAAAGACCTTTTACGATTCTAAAATGATAAGAAAACCACAAAGAGCTTATCAAAATTGTTATCCAACTGAGTAGGGAATCTGCCTAAGCCATCTTTGGTTCCTCAAAGAAAAAGAAAGAAATTTGGAAAAAGAAATTAAGAAGAAGAATTTTCATGATCTAGAACTAATTGTGAGTGCATTCCAGCTTGCTCACGTCCTTTCTTTTTTAAAAAATACTGAGTGTGAATAATATCATAAATAACCGGGGGGGTGACTACCTGTAAATAAATTATTTACATATTCAGCAAAATATTGATGATGTCTCCTAAATCCTCTATAAAGAAAAGAGGATGACCCAATACTAAACATTCAATGGTCTGGAACCATATATTCCTAATCAAGTCAAAATCGTTAAACATCGTCAACCCCTTCGAAAGTTCTTTTGCTCCTCTCCTTTCAGACTGCCCAAAAACAATAGACAAAAAGAAAAAAATAGATATTATCAGCTCTTTTATTCCCCTTCAAAATACTCTTTTTGCTCACATTCAATTTTGAGTTCCCTTTCTCTGCCTTGTTTCACATAACAAAGGGAAAAAATAGACAAAGTCGTCCTATCAACATGCCCCAAATTCAATGCTTAGCGGCAAGCCGGACAGACACACTTGCTTTAACTTAGTTCTCATTTTAGATCAAACCAACTAACCAAACTAGGAATCAAAATTATTCTCCATACTTTACTTCAAACATTAGTCCGCAATAGTAGCAAAACATTTTGAGACTGCCAATAAAATTTGACCTAAAATTTCAACATTCCTTCTATTTTTGGGGCCAGGAGGGAGAGGGTGCAGTTGGCCAACACAAGTTCTGAAAAATCTCCTATCCAAAACAACTCATCCTAGCAGAGAAACGATACTAGAAAAACATTTCCCTTCTCTTGTTACTACATGTTCTCTGCAAGCAGAGAAAAACAAAAAAAAAAAATTTCAAAAAACAAGCCTTGTCTAGTACTCTCACTTTTTGAGGTGTAACGGCAGGGAAGACGAGACCTCGCCCTCAAATGCCACAGTGAGCTTACTAGTTTGACTCTCGATAACATTAAGGTAATATTAATACTGATAACATTAAGATTTTTTTAAATATTAATAATGAGATTTTAAATATTAGTAGTCATTGTACCCTCTTGCATTAATAGCTTGTGTTAATTGGTGTGTGGAGAAGAGTTGCTCTAAAGGCTAAAGTTTGATTTCAAGACATTCATAATACTCCAAAATTGGTATTTGAATCTCATTGCTAGTTGCAGCCTGCTCCTTAAAAGATTCTTTTTCCCTAAAACAAAACCAAGCAAATGTCTAATAAGTTAAATAATATTTAATTACTACCATAAATAAGAAATATAAAGAGTAATCAATTTATTAATTGCAGAAATTACAAGTGAAGAAATCGATGCAATATGATACTGACACTAAAAAAGAGTTAATTGTGTATTTTAATTTCTGATACAAAAAACAGAAGTCATTCCAGCAAAGGACAAATCTTTTCCTTTGTGGTATATGGTCTTTAGGCTGCAAACTCTGTACAAATAAGATTTTTTTTTAAAATCTCTCAAGTACCAAGTACAATTCAAGTTTACAACCAATATTGAGTAGTTACTAACTCATAAAACACAAAAAAACCAAATCTTTCATATTTGTTCAACCCAAATCTTCTGACAATTTACTAACTCGTTACAATATTTCTGCAAATGAATAAACACTCAGATATCGACCCTTTTACGGCGGATTGGACAGAGTTTTTCATCTTCAACCAACTAAAGATGCATGACTCGTGAAAGATGTGGCGACACGGCATGTCAATCAGCTCCTTGGCTGACAAGAAATCTTCGAGACATACAGCGCAGGCGTCATCAATGGCATCACAAGTGTCGGTACGATCAACGCTCCGTTCTGATCTCAGTTTTTCAAGGAGGGAGGTCGATACCCCATTATTTGCAGAACTATCCCGGTTGCCACCACCAAAATCAAACTCGGCCTGGCCTAGATTGCACCTATCATAAGTGAGCACATCCTCAAAATCACGGATTCTCTGTCCCGTGACTCTTTCGTCAAAAATAACTTCAGTCCAGACAGTCCGTGCGTGAAATAAGAAGTGGTTGGAGGAGCGGGCAACGGATATCCCTCGGAAATGAGAGAGCATTTGGGTAGCGATTTGCTCAGCTAACTCACGAGCGATACCGAAACTAGTGAGTTGGATGAGAATGCGGTGGTGGGCTGTGGATTGCGAGAGCAGGTCTACTGGGAGGTAGAAGACTGTATGGGCAGGTGCAACGATTTTTTGTCGACTCAAGACGGTTTCCCCACCTTCAAGATGACGGAATACCCACTCATAAATATAGGTTACTCGAAGTCTGACTGTGAAGTTTCACGATCATCAGTTATTGCAGCAACCCAGTTCCGTCAACATTCAGTGTCCTCAACTCCATGTTTCTTCACAGAATAAAGAATGGAAGCAGAGAAAGAAAAAAGGAAACAGAAAGCCTAGATAGAGGAAGAAGAGCAGAGAGAGAGAGAGAGAGAGATTGTTAATTGCGTTCAGGTGTAGTAAATGTAACTATATATTGTTTCGATTTTTTTTTCTTTTCCGATTCTGAAGTTGTAATTACAACCTTGTTTCCTTTTCCGAATTGGAGTTTTAATTACAAATCTAAAATTAAAAATTTAGGGAAGATCCGCTCCTGATCTTTCTCTGGTTTCCTCTCATATGGGGTGGGTTACGAGGGGAGCGGAAAAACTGACCGTTGGTAGAATTGCGTCGTAACTTTCTATTTTTTTATCTGTAATTAATTAAAATTCTAATTTATTTTATATAATTTACGGGTTTTAATTTCCGCCCATAGATTTCCTTATTTCTTATCTTTATGTTTTTATTTTTCTAACTTACCATTTTTCACTGAAAAATTAACGCTCTGATCTCCTCCGACATTTCTTCTTCTCCCTCCCCTTCCCCCAAATTATTTTAAAAAGAACAGACGAAAGTACGTTTGGCTTGATTATATAGAAACATAAAGAAATACTTCTGTCCAGTATCAGCATTAACTTAAGAATGCTGTCTTGAACGCACTCCTTCTTTTTGTTAAATAATATAATTATAAGAAAGAAAATTCAAAATTGGAGACTGAACCAGTAGCATTTGCAGTATCCAGTGTACAAAGATCATGAGTATATATCTCCTAAAAATTTATCATCTAAGTACATGGAAATACGATATCAGCTTCCATAAAATCCATATATATCCAGCATGGTAAATTCGATAAAAAAAGGTAAAATAGAAAAAAGAGGACAAGAAACTTAGCTCACTGACTCCGCTGAAGAGAAACGTCGGGGATGACAATTTCCACTTGCCCAATCGAATCCCTCGGAACCAAGACTGATTGTTCCAACAACATAAAGTTCTTCCATCAGTACTAGAACAAAAAAATCATCCTCAGATCAACACCATGTACCCGATAGTGAAGAACTCAAACGCCGATAGGAAGATCCAAGGACATCGGGTTTTGAGTTGAGAATCCAAAATTTTCCAAGGAAACAGACATAAAGTGGAATCGAAACGGAAAAGATAGAGGCAGATCTGAGATTGGAAAACATATTTTACCTGTAGGAGATAGAAGGAGAACTACATCAGCAGTTAGAAGACAGAGAGGAAATGTTAAAGCTGGAAATAGAGAGAGAAAAGGAGGGAAATGCATTTAGCAACCAGCAGTGGAGTGGCGGGAGAACAGGGCACGTGGAGGAAGATGATTGGCTGACCAGTGTGTTTGAAACTTTTTTTTTTATTTTTTTTTAAACGTGTAGTTAGATTATGCATCCACCCTGTAATGCCTTACTATATTTTTTTTATAATATTATTTTATACTAATTATTAAGTAGATTATATATAAATATTATTTTACATTATATTTTATTTTAATTAATAATAAAAATCTTTTAATTAAGTTTTAAAAGATTTTTATTATTAATTAAAATTTTGAAGTAGTTGTTGAATTAATTGGGGTTTAATTCAACAACTACTTCAAAATTTCAATGCTTAAAATATTTACAAGTAAATAAAATAATTAAAACAAATAAAAAATTAATCAATCAATTAAAATAAGTAAAAATACTAAATTAAGTAACTATAGCCCAATTTGTAATTTTAGTTCATTATCCCAAATTATAATTATAATTAGCAACTCAATAAATCAAAATTTTTAATTCATTATAATTACTTTAATTTAAAATATATATATAATTATCATGCCATGTGTTTTTTTTTTAACTAAAAAACGTAATCAGATTTAATCAAAGTTGATTAATGTTAAACTGGCAATTAGCTGTAGTTTAATTATATAATAATATAAGATCTCATGCCAAATATCTTGTAGTTGTCCCCTTCGGCTAATAATAAAAGGCCATACATCAATCAGGGTACACGATAAGATTCACAGGGAGGAAAAGAAAATTTGGAAAACCATGAACGTTGAAGAAGAGGTCCACCGACTCAAGGAAGAAATCCAAAGACTCGGCAAGATTCAGCCCGATGGTTCCTACAAGGTATCATATCTCAGCTTCCTCTCTCTCCACTATAGAATGCATATATTTATCCATGGATGGAACGACATGAACGACATAGGATCTGAGTCGATGGTAGATGTAGATAGATCTTGTTTTCGAGTTTACTGGAACGTGTTAATGGTGGATTTATGGTGATTTTATATGTCGACGGTGACGAATTTAGGATGAGGTTTGATTTTTTATTGATGAAGATGGTTAGAACTGTGAAATTGTAGGTCAGTAGAGGAGAAAAGGGTTAAATTGATTGTCGCCACTAGCTTCTTGGTTTGGCTTTAGATCGATCTGTTTCAAATTTATCATGAGGATCTGTTCTCAAACAAATGGTTTTTGCAGATCTGAACTAGTGCCGCGGAGTTCTCTGCTTTAGTAAGATTAGTACTGGTTCAAATAGAAATGGTAATATCATTTCTATTATTAATGGATTCCCTAAGTCACGTAGAGAGAGTGATGGTCCTTTGTCTGGAAAGAGATTTGTTTAATGGGAAAAGAAAACGAAGAAAATATTTTCTTTTCTGTAGAAATTTTTTATTAATGACAGAAGAGAGAACGATGAGAACATTTCATCCCTTTTTTCGCACAAGGTCAAAAAAAATTTTCGTACCACTTTCCGGAAGAATGCGTAAAGGAGAAGAGTTAACGTCATTTTGAGAATAATTTGGTATCTTTATACTAAAATAAATCAAAAGTTTTGCTATTACCTTTCTGTCATTTTCTCTATGAGTCTTATCCTCTTATTGGCAAAAATGATTTTCATTCTCCTCTTTTCTATCTCCAATTCAAATGAAATAATATATTTCCATTCTTCCTTTTATTGCTAATTCTTCCCAACGGTATAAAATTTTTTGTGCTTTTGTCGCATTTCATTGCATATATTTTCTTCCATTCCAGTTTATATGTTCCAAGCAGTACAAAGTATTTTAGATAAATTTCATTCCATTTTATCAGGATTTGCTCTATTCCATGGCTCTCTCTAAATACCAAACGAAACTTGAAGATGAGAGAAAATTTTGAAAATGGTGTCTTATTATTTCATGATATTACTTTGAATGTGAAGGAATTGGTTAAAGTTTCTGGTTAAATGGTTAAATTAACTGTTGACTTATGAGGACTCTTTTTTAACTCAATTGAAATACAAACCAGTCTCACTTTGTAATTTAGCCTTTAGACTTTGCTTTTCCCAATGTTTGATTCTCCAACAAAAATCTTTCTTTTTGATTTGTTCTCCTGCTATCTATATAACCATCCCCTGTCCTTTATGAATGTTGATCTTTTGATTGCCAAGACAAAAGAAAAAAGGGTTATCTCTTTTGATATTCCACCACATTGTTCTTCTTTTTTGCTTAAAATATCATAGGAGACCATCTGTATTTAGCCCCAACTCAAACCTGCACACTTGCTATCATTTTAGAAGGAACTGCTTGATACATACTGGCTTCCTAAGAATATCCTCTAGTCATGACCTCCATTGTTGAATCTCTATGGAAGCCCTCACATCCTGTTTCAGTCAATAGAAATGGACTGATAAAGGTATTAAAAACATGCAAATACTACACCATTTGTCTCTTGATTGTCACTATAGAGGTGCAAATCTGGAATTTCTCATGTTATATATTGATTCATTGACACCAATTTTTCTGTTTGTAAACTCCAAACCCCAACCTCCCGCCCCTGAAAAATGTAAATGTTTTCCCATATTCGGCTGAACTTCCATTGAGATACTTGAAATAAATTTGACTCTGCCTTTCAGACATGGGTACTCATTTTGATCTATTTACAGAAGCATGAAAAGTACGGGCTAATATATCTTCCATAGATAGCAACTCTGATACTTCAGCTTGTATGGAGAGTTAATTTGAATAGTATTTACATTATGCATATGACTTACATATAGAAATGGAATGGGTATAGGGTGAGAGACCATTCCCCACTCCTCACCTATCTCTGCCTCCTACTAATGGTTTTGTTCAATTTATTCTCTCCATTTAAAATGGGAAGGACAACTGGATTACCCCAACCTTTTGCCGTGTCTAGATTGTACTGTTATTTTGAAGCCTCGGGTTGGATGAATTGAATCGAATTGGATAGAAAAGTGCTCGATTATCTGTGAACTGGATTCCATTTTTTTCCTTTGATTCATCAATGAATTGGGGTTTTAACTATGATTTAACCTTGACCTTTATTTTGTGTTGCGTTATGAGCAGCAAAATACTATGCTATATTAACTTCTCAAATGTAATATCAGATTTCTCCTCTTTTTGAAGGTTACATTTGGTGTGCTATTCAACAACTGCGAAAACATTTTTGAAGCACTTCTAGGCACCCTAAGAGCAGCAAAGAAACGAAAAGTGATTACATATGATGGTGAGCTGCTGTTACAAGGAGTCCATGACAATGTGGAGATCACCCTCAAGCCAACACCAGAGTTGACAGGAAAAGCAGCAGGAGCAAGCACCTAGGTAAATAATGTTCAAGAGAACGCGCTTCTATTTTATTTATGTTAATTACTCATTACTGCCAATTTAACAACTAAATCCTACTTTTCAGATCTTTATCCTCTGGTTACTGGTGGAACAAGTTCGAGGGTTGGCATAATCAGAATCAATTTACAATTGGTACCAACTGATCTGAATCATCCTGCAGGCAAACTTTCACATGAAATTTCAAATTGCAAGTGTGGTCCAGATTAGCTGCATAATTTATTTTCTTATTTCTGGGTGAGGCTAAAGAGTGATCCAGCAATTTCAATTTTAAAATTTGACAATCTCTTGAAAATATTGAGTAAAATGTTACTAGTAAAGTTTGGCCTATTCTACCATAGCAATACTCTATGTTGAAATTATAGAACAACACAAAAACATGGCTGAGTTCAAGTTCACTGTCAACGGAAGTCCGTTAAAATTAAAAATCTTCTATTTTTTCCCCGAACCTTCCATTTTTTTTTTTTTTTTTTCCCAATACTATCATCTTCACACATTATCAAGGGCATCGACGTCCATTTTACCAAGCACCAAAACAGATTGGTGACAGCGGTCAAGACCATATGTTTGGTTATGCCTCAGTGAGACCCCCCAAGCTTGGTTCATATTTATCTATATGCATTTATTTATTAGTTAGGGAGATCATTCAGCAAATTCAACTTAAAAATTTTTAAAGCCTGTACTTACGAATTTTACTGGGTTTCCATGTCAGATGCTTTTGTTCATATTGGATTTCACATGAATTTTTCATCCTTTCTTTTTGAAGTCAGTTTGTGTGTTTCTATTCCTTCTTTTCATGCTTTTTCCTTCTATGATTAGTGATAGTGGGGACAAGATGATTTCACCAATATGAATCAAAGGATTTTAAAGCTAGCCAAGATTAGACAAGAACATTTCAGAATCATTCCCAAACAATTTACTGGCCAAAATTTTACGCTAATATCCTTAAAAAAAAACATAATTTTATTGGGGTTTTGTCCTTTCCTAAAAAAAATTGTTACTTTTATTTAGAAATTACAGTTTCAATTGAAAAGATTTAATTATTTTTTTTAATATAAAGGAAAACAAAAAAAAGAATTATTATTATGTCAGCTGACTTCAATAATCTAAATATAAGTGAGTATAGAAATTCTTAAGAATTTGAGAAGATCCCTAATTCAGGCATTCACTTCCGTGGTTAGAGTGACCTAATTATGACATTTTTGGAATAAGTGCTTGACGTTAAGAGAGTCTACCTCTATAAGAGCTTCTTAAATGCCAATGTGATGGACTAGCTTTAAGGCCCTCCAAGGCTCCTTGAACCTCAACCGTCAATGGGTCACTAGTACCTACTTTGCACATGGAACCAACTTGCCAAGTACCCTAACCATCTCTCATCAAACCACCAAATGCACAGCCTGAATCATCACTAGGTTAGTCATCTATGTTAAGCTTGAACTGAAGTAAGGGGGAGATTTACGAGCAATTTATCGAGAACTAGTTGATTCTCTCTTGCCAGTGGCCATATGTCGTCTACTGCATGTATTTTGTCCTATATATATTAATAAATATATTTTTTTCTTTTATTAAAATATACATATATTAATATAATAAAATAATTATATTAAATTTAGGTTAAATAATTCGTAAATTTAATACAATCTAAAAAATAAAAATAAAAATTATCTAGAGGGGGGTTTGACTTTTTTCTTTTTGAAGCCAATCTAGGTTTTGAGTTTGACAAAATCTACATTCATACCATTCTTAATATTTATTGTTGAGTTCATTAAGAAATTTTCCATCAATTTGATCACTGACGTCGATTTAGGCTAACTTTATGCTTTTAGGATTTGATGACGCTAATATAATTTTTGTGATCACAACATTCTGGTAATTTGAATCTCTAACTTTTCACTCATCATTTTATACGTCATTCTCTCTTTTCATTTCCAGTGCCAAGAATCTTGAATCAGTATCTTGGTGACAAGAACTTACATCTTTTATTTACCTTTAAGTGCACCTCTTTGAAGTTTCTTCATTTCTTTGTTGGCTATTTGTGTCATGGATCTTGTTAGTTAGCTCCTTTTGCTCCACGAACTAAGACTTTGGGATGCCACCTTTCCTTCTCTGGACCAATGTCCTAGGCTAGAAACTTTGCTCCTCCTTAGGATGTTTGCCGTTGTTAGTTATCATCGCCACAACCATTGATGGCTCGTTCACACCTATGCAAGAAGTAAAAATTTGTTAGGCAAAAGAAATCAACTCCATGCCCATAGATTCCACAAGTGATTTAGTGACTTTCAATTCCATACATATCATACGAAGCAACCGCGTTTGATGAGCGAGGTTATCACGTCTATCCTGAATACACTTTTGAAGTGAACACCCTGCTTGTTCTGCAGAAACTCAATGTTGGAGCACTCAATGTTGAGCTCTAGGAATCAAATTAAGATTCTCATTTTATCTATAATAGCTTCGTTGAGGATGAAGTTCAGACACTAAAACCTAATTGTGAGATAATGACCAAGAACAATCCACGACTCTCTTGTAAGTACGAAGTTGTAGTCTAACTTCATGGGAAAGTTTGGCCAAGTAAAAGTTGCACCTAATATAGATCATTCAGGATGATCCCCAAAGTAATCTACATTGCTTGAATAAACAAAGGCGTTTTAAGTTGTTTTTTTCCCCTAGTTGTTTAATCATTAGGGTTTTACTCTATGGCTTCTAGAGACTCAGTTTCTCCTTAGCTGTCAAAATGATTGATCAACATAAGTCATTTTAAAGGATCGTGTTCCTCATCGTCAGCTGTAAGGGGAAAAGTTGCATGTTCTTATTGCGATTCTATCCAGGAGGCCTAGTCAACTGTGGTAGATCCAAACATTAGCTTTTGCTTCCATGAGGTCGCACGAATCGTGCAGGGATCATTTGTTGTATGCTCCACTTACGCATCTCCATTGTCTTTATTGCTTGAGACATCTTGCCTTGTTTCATTAGGGTATATGATTTCTACCTGAGTCGTGCAAAGATCACTATCACTATCACTGTCACTAGTGGTGGTGGATTTGACTAATTATTGGGGCTATTTGCATCGAGAAAATGAATTTATAAAAGCTTGAATAATTTTTTTAAAACTAATTGCAAAAAAAAAAAAAAAAAACATTTGCTTAACTATTTGATGATGCTTACTTTGACAGCAAATATATTTGCCATTTCTTTTGCAGAGGACACGGTGAAAGCATTCAATCTGAACAAAATAATGAACTACTCAGGACGCACGTACACATATATGTATATACATAAATGTCCTTTTGGTATCTCACATCTTTCTTCTGCTGCTTGAGTGGAGTAAATGGAACATTTTCGAAAGGGGTAGAAAATCGTATTTGGTCCGATGATGCAAGGCTGGTTTAGCAAAGGTAGAAACGTAATAACTACAGTTACTGTTACTTCCAGCTCTTGAAGTAATGGTAGCTTAGGAGAGAGACAGGAAAGGAAGAAAAGAAGGGGACGGGAAGAGTGTTTTCTGATAAGAGAGTTTGGTAAAAATTATTTACTAGTTATGTTTTTGTAAAATAAATTTAAAATGTATATAAAATTATTTGTATTTTTGTTATAACTAAATATAATTATGTTTTCACGTAATAATAAATTAAATCGGTTGTTGTAATTTTTCCGAAAATATTATGATAACAAGGCTATTGTGAATTCTAAACACATTTTTGGGTCCATTTCAAATAGTTTCTAATTTTTAATATAAGTCTTGATATATTTCCACACCTTCACCTTGATTATTTTCAGGAAAGAATTGAGTTCTATTTAATATAAAGTTCAAAATTAAGAATTAACTAAAAATTTAATAAGAAATGAACCATAGAAACCTTTACTTTCATAGAATAGACACCAAAGAGAATCCAATATGCAAAAAGAAATTTAGTATTACAAAAGCATTTATGGGGAACTCAAATCACCAAAAAAATCAAGAGAGTGTCACTGTATGTACAAATATATTTATATCTCAATTAGAATATTAACAAGATTTCTGAAATTCTCCGTAAAATAAAGAGGACGATCCGTATAGGTCTCTTGTTTCTTTCTTTCTACACCGTCCAAAATATAGATAGGGGAACGAGACCCCCCACGGGTTACTTCCCGCCGCTAATACTCTTCCAAGAGCAAATCTTGTCCCTAACAGTACTAGCCATTGCCCACCTAATCCCCACTCGGTAAACTGTCCGTAATGGTCCATAAAAATGTACGCAAACGGACATCAAAATAAGATGTGGTTTCGTCTCCCTCTTAAAAGAAAATACAGCCATTCACCTGTAATCTTCCCCTTTCTCATAAGTTTATTAATAATAAGAATACACACCTATAGCTTGCCTCCCACAGAAAGAAGGCAACTATGGATGAAGTATTACTTCCTAAATTTGTAAATAAGGAAAACTGGTCTCAGTGGTCTCAAACTTAACCAAATTATTATAGAAAGACCTCACCAAGAAGGTCCCTGCAATATTGAGACTCCAGAATGGTTGGTCATCACTCCCGTCCATGAAAATATGAAATACTCACAAAATCAAATAGGTTAATAAAAAAATCAGAGCAGACAAAAAATAACATTACAATTCCATATGACTTCAGCATATAAATACAAATCAGCACAGTTAAAATGTATGCAAATTCCCACGCCTATATATGCATGCATTTTCCTGTAATATCACATAGATACTTATACACTCCAAAAAAAAAAAAAAAAAACCAACAGCACATTCACACACATGGACTTCAATGGATTTTAACCATCTACTGCATCAAACCTGTTAAAATGCAAGTGTCTTTCGTTTGTGTTGAGGTGTACTTAGAAATTAAACTTCCAGAGCCTTTATGAATCTTATTCATCAGAAGAAAATTGGCATGCTCAAACATGTAAAAGTTCCCTTTTTGATTCTCTTGGGTCTACTTATAGTTTAATTCCCATTTATTTAAATAATTTCCTGTAAAATATTTATATTATCCTTAATATATAAAAATTGAAAAGAATTTAATATCCATTTTATGTTTGTACCACCTACCCCACTCCCACCTTCAATTCCTTAAAGGAAAATTTTAGTTTCTATTTGATAAGTGGAAGCTATAAACTCCACCCAATAATTTAAAATTGGGGTTAAGAAAAAAATAATTCAAACATGAACACTGTTTTATCTTTACATACCAAGTCTAATATAGAATTAATAAGACATGGAATGAGAATAAAATCAATAAGAAAATTGAATTGACGTTTGGTGCAAGGGAAAAACCTTTAAGAACATATTAGTTTTTTTCCAAATTTATGTACAGAGACATATATGGTTGTAAAAATGGAACTTACAAAATGACAGTAAAACATAATATCAGTTTGAAAATAACTTTTTGACTTTTTAAAATTATGCCATTTTTTCACAATAATTTTTTCAAATCTTGTTTACATTTTTAACAACTAGTCATAATTTTGCATAGAAAAATGTATATGACTATTAAAATATAAATCCAAAACAATTTTCTAAACCTCTTGCTCTGAAATAGACGGCTTAGGTATGAAAGAATTTCCCCTTTTGTGTGTCTCTCATTTGAAAAACAATTTTTGGATATCATTATTGACATTAATATAATGAAGCCTATTTTTCTCTTTCTATTCTGTGCATCCAATATGCTAATTATGTTTGCTTTGGGCAAAAAATTGGTTAAGAATTTCTGCCAAAATAAAGAAATTCCTGTTTTGTTTTTCACTTTTTAAGACATGGGTAAGAGGTAGTACTCAGAACTCATCAACTTTCTTATAAAAGTGTTATGTTATATAAATTAGATGCTCTTAACTGTTAAATTTCAATTCACAAGTATATCCATACTCTCAGTTTTCATCTGTTAATATTGACAGTACAAAGGCATTGGTGGATCATAGTGTCTATCAATTGGATGTTTGAAAATTTGAATTCCTACCTATTTTTTCTTTCAAGTTTCTGCCTTAGGTTGTTTGGATAAATTCAATAATTTTTTTACTTTGAAAATTCACACCTAAAAAGTAGAATTCAAGTAATATATTCCAACTTTTCAAAAAAAAAAGGAATATATATTCTAAATTTCATTAGTTTTCATTTAAAATTTCAAATACATTGTTCCATTTCATTTCTAATTTTCTCATAAACCAATTTGATACTGTTTAATTTCACTTATATTTTTTTTGTAAAGACAATTTTATCATTCAAATAACATATTTGCTTTCCCTTTAGATCATGTGTAAAATTTTAAACAAATTTAACTGAATCTGATTTGCTAAACTCCCTATACATTTAGTATAATAACAGGGAAAGTTATTTTAACAGAAGCAGAGATTGTTAGGTTGAGCAACAAAAATTCTAGTAGCTGTTTATGTTAAGTAGCTGATATGCCAGCACGAAAGGCAAACATTAAAATTGGAGATTGGAAGGTTGAAACCTATTCAGATCATTGTATACATATTTTTCGAGAGCTTACTTGATTGCACTATTAGAAATTATATGTGAGAATGCTAAATTCGCAAAGTATTTTACAAAAATTCTTACATATACTGACAGCGCCTGATGCGCATTGTAATTATTTACTTGATGGGGATGTCTTCCTCACAGAGTTTGTAATTTTTTTGTAAATTATTTTTTGTATAGATTTTTATGTGTGCCATTACTCTCTTGGTATATTCATGATGTTGATTTCCTATCTTCTTTGAATCTTTAAAATTTTTGTACAACTCATTTGCAACATGACATTCCATTCAATATAATAAAACTTGACCGCATAAAGAGTTTTGCAACAAACTAGAACAATGCATCTTATGACAATTTGAAATGTATTACTCTAATTCAAAATAAAATTCTCAATTAGGAATATTATATTTTATCTTTTTGTAGAATTTATACTCTCCTAATTCAATTTAATTAATTGTAAATTTGTAAGCAAAATTTCTACCTTCATTTCAAACATAATATCCCTAGTCTTAGTCTCGTGAATAATATGAATGAGGCTTGCGAGATTTCCATTTTCATTTCTACGGGAAGCATAACCCCAAAATCTTATTATGACCTTCCTCTTGTTTATTGTTGCTGATGATGATTAACCACTGCTAAAAATACTTCACAGAAAGAAGTAAAAATCATACGCCACCACTGCCTACCGGTCACTTAGATGTTGGAAATGATAACAGGGTAATATTCTAGGATGATATGCTGTCCCGGATCAACCTTCGAAATCCCTTTTCCCCAGTCCAGAAACTTCCAGAGTAGGAAGTCCTCGGTCAAATTCTTCTAGTATGCTATTGTATAACAAGCTCATATGAAAAATTTAAGGCTTCTCTGATAGTGGCTACAGTCTCATTTTCATTGTGGATAATTTTTTTTTTCTGAGATTGAAAGTATGGTATGATTCATTGATTCACAAGCACCAAAGGCCGCCAACCCATTCACATAACCTCATTGTGGATAATTTTAAGCAGTTTTGTCATGATTTGGTGTCCATTTTACATTTGTCTAAACTATATTCTTTTATGGTGTCTCGGGGAGAGAAGTTTATAGAATCCAATGGTTAGATTGATGGCATCCAACAGGTGGTTTCAGTAACCTTTTATCTAATTTTTCTACACCTAGAGATATTGATTTCAGACCTCAAATACTTTCTTTAAAGTTCATCCACTCCTCAACAGGAAGATCTTTAGGAACCTCTATGTTTTGGTGGATCCTCTTTTGTAGTTTTGCTTTCTCTTCTATATATAGGTGGCACCATAATACCTTTGTCTATGGTAAACTTTTTTCCTCTAGAAAATAAAATTGATATCATTCAACTGCTGCCACTTCCCGTCCAGCAGCAGGCAGGAGCAGCATGGATAACCAGCAAAGTTAAGACAGTCATTGATTCCACCCTGTTTTAGTCAGAAACTCTTAGATCCTCAAAGGATGA